ATTTTCTCTACTATTACTTAAATGACTCACTTTTGATTCTTTGTAAGCATTTGCAAACACCGCCATAATACAGGGCAATTAAGTTCATCCAATTACCAAACATGCCCTTCGTTATATTAAATTTTATGTTTAACACATACATTAACTTTCGTCTTTTTATGTTTCTAACCCAATTTATAAATAGATTAATACAAATTATTTTTAGCACATGTACATGTAAACACTCGTAACGCATTTATTTATATTTTTTTGGCAGTCCATGAGCATTTGTACCATCTTCGTAGCGTTCCATCTTCTTGTACATGAACATGGGCAATATTTTATGAGAAAAAAAGCATGCACGTGGTGTATTGAAGTATTTGGTCGACAGATAAAAAATTATATATATTTTAAATTTAAGATATATATATATGTGTGTGTGTGTGTACATATATATATCAAATGATAAAAATATTATAAAAATTACTTAAAAATCAAATTTTAATTCCTGATTGTTGTTTTCTTTCAATTTTCCAATATATTAAAACGATATATGATTTATATTGTTGGGAATAATTATTATTTATGTTTTTATATACAATAATGTAAGAAAATTCAAAGGTTTTTATCATTTTTTTGAGTCAAAGGAAATTAAATTTTCAACTTTTACCCGCTCCTTTTTTATATATAAGAAAAAAAATAGAACCCAATTGTTCACGATATTGTTAAAACATAAAAGTTGGGGAATGATTAGTGATTAGAAGGTTTATTGAAGGAAAAACATACTGCCTTTTCTAACAACATATGAATAGCAGTCATGCTAGTCTGACATAAGGTTGTCATAATTTACAGGGACAGACAATTGTGAGCCACGAAATGCATTTTAGCTAATATGGGCAACTGATTGATTCCTTATTAGCTGTTACGTATGTTGGCAGTTAGATAAGAAAGCAATCTTTGAAACAATGGGAGGACAGGAGGCACGTTAAGAGCCCACGCGAGTGCGGTGATGAAATGGATGTTAAGACAATTGACCTGCTAAATTAATTTTTAACATTAATTACAGCGTCAACAACTATCCATTCAAAATTTCTTGCCCGGAGTTGGGTCCAGAAGCAACGACAGCATGGGCCCATCAACAATAGCTATTTGATTCCCAAGACCGATTTGTATTGCCATTGTCTTTGTGGATGGCACTTCCACGCATTAAACGCAATTTCCCTCTTATTTTTTAAAATAAATATATAATTTTAACTCAATTTTAATAAATTAATCAAAATTAGTCATTTTTATAAATTATAAATTAATTTTAACTAATTCAACTCTGATTTTGATCAAATGCCTCGGCTAGACTATTTGCTATACGAGAGTCTAGACCACCAAAATGAATACAAAATAAATCAAATTCATAAATTATGAAATGAAAATTCATTTGAACTAGTTGAAGGGGAAAATATTATTTTGCCCCTTCAACTTTTTTTCTATGTTTTGTTTACTTCTTAAATTATTAACTGTACCATTTACTTCTTAAAACTAACACTATTAAATCAAACATTATATTTACCTCTCGTACTCTCTAATTTTAAATACTAATTTTTTAAAATATTGTTGTTTATAATAAAATAAAATACATTTTAATAATATTTATTATCAATTATAATTTATTGATTTAAAATTTTAAAATCCTAGCAATTAACTATTATAAAAGAATTCAATATTTAAATTTTGGGAGTTAAAGAAGTAAATATAATGGTTGATACAATTATGTTATTTTTAAAGAAAAAATGATATAAAAAGTGATTTAAGAGACTAAATAAGATAAAAAATGATTTAAAAGAGGGGGGGTGGGGGTTACCTTAATTTAAATAATGACAATAACTCATGAACACATTCCTCAACCCGTGTTTGGAAATTAGTTATTGTACTGTGGAGCGTGCTAGCCATGGAAAGAAACAAAATTGATGGTTTATTTACTGCCAAAAATCTCCAACGTAACTTGTCCCGTTGCATTTCCTTTTATACTAGGTAATAAATAATAAGTCATTCATTGTCTTACCAAATAAATTACCCGTTTCTAAATATACCCATTATTTCCACTACACACATCAATGTTTTCACGCCTTAAAATCTAATTAATAAATACATATAACAAATATCCCTTTTTTGTATTTTTAATATCTTGTCAGTTATATTACAATAATATTCCTTTAACATTGCCCAAATCTCTAAGTTGACCGGTAGGAGAGATAACAAAAATATTTGAACTTAATGTGATAGTCTAGATTTGAACCGTTGCTCATTTGAGCACCGACCGAAAGGAAGCAAGTAATCAACAGTGAGGGGGTGTTTTACATCTGACTTTGATAAATATTTCTAAACTTTTCAATGATTAAAAAGTGATTCTAAATTTTTCAATGGTTAAAAAATAATTTTGGATATTTACAAAATCACTTTTAATTTTTACTTATTTTAAGTTAAGCTGTAAATAGTAAAAAAATTTGAAACAATGAAGGAGAGTATTAGTTCTAGTGGCATTTTTGTAATTAAATCAAAAACTGTTTTACATTTGTTTTAGCCTTTTTGTTCTCGAGTTTTTTTTTTATTATTTCCAACTTTATCCTTGAAGACTTGGGAGGACTGTTGTGTGAAGCGATGGAGAACTCTGTTGCCACATAAACGATTGGGGGGGCGCTCCGCTCTTTGTCGTCGCTATGGATAGCAATGGGGGGGGGGTACCATTGTGCGTGGCGATAGAGTTCTCTGTCATCACATGCAACGGCTAGCAATTAGGGGACAACAGGAAGAAAGGGAAAGTATGAGAGAGATAAGAGAATAAAAAATCTTTCAAATATCCTTTTATTAATTTTGAGAATTTTTTTTAAACATTTTGCAAATACTTATTATTTTTGATTAAAATCTGATTTTGCCTATTTTTTCTTAAAGCACCAAATTATGTATTTTTTTGCAAATATTTGCAAATACCACCTGAGTAAAACATGCAAAGGCAACCAACTAACCAACCGCCCAAATGTAATCTCAAATTTATTTCCATCCAAAATAAAATTTTATTTTATTGTCTCATTTATAAAAATTATATTATAATAAACAAGGTACATTAAGAATAAAAAGGCACACAATTTTAATATATATTTTCAACGAAATCATGGGGGATGTTTTGGGTTAATTTTACTCCAAAATTTATTTCAAATTGTACTATGTCAAATTATATTTTTAAAATAAAAAATGAGTAAAATAAATTGATATAACCTGATATAGATGGAATTATATATATATATATATATAAACTTTGATTCAATTTGGTTTATTAGTTTTTCAAGTTCAACTGCTTATACAATTTAAATTTCAAATTAATTCAATCAAGTTCATAAATCCTGAATATTTAATCATATAATAAGGAGATAATATTTTATTTGATGTGGATAGAGTTAAATAAAACATGAAAATTAAAGTAGTATATCATAAATCTAATAAATCTTACATTCATATATTTAGCAATGAAATAAAACATATAACACTTTTAATTTAGTAAATTTATCATAAATCCAATTAAAGAGTTTTTAATATTGTATGGTGTAATAGAATGATTTTTAATAACACAAGAATAAGAGTGATAATGAAAATAAGATTTTTATGGGTATATATTTGATATATATATATATGTATATATCTTAGTAGAATAAATATTCTTATTCTATAACCATGTTTGTTATCTTGGAATATAAGTAAAAAATAAAAAAAAAATTGTTTGAAGATAAAAATACCATATACTATAGATATGTAAAAAGTAAAAAAATTAACTTTAATATATTATGAAAATATTTAAAAATAAAAAGATTAAAATTTAATAATCTTAAAATTTTAAATTTCACTTTATATATAATAAGTTATATAGGCATAAATTATATTCTATAAATATAATAAATTATATAATGTATATGAAATAATATATATAATGTTATAAATATTTATATATAAATTTGTTTTTATTTAAAAAATAAAAAGATAATATAATAATTATACAATTAAGTGATGAAACAAAATTAAGATTCTATTACTCTCAAGTGATGAAATTTGGATTGCATGGATCATTTCACTTGAAGGAATCTCTAAAGAAAATGAGAACTTCATTTTAAATTAAATATCAAACATATTTTTTTAACAATTTTCATTCTCGATCCCATTGTATCAATAAAATTTTATCATATTATATATCTTAATATATTAATTAAGTTAGTTTAATATCGGTTTGATAAACTATCAAGCCAACACCAATCCAAATATGGTTCGAGGAATAATTCAAAGCGTTACCAACCCAATTTTAATCAAACTTGATTTAGACTTAAATGTTTTTTACTTTGATTTATTTTTTTAGTTTATTGATTTTGCCGTACATCACTCTTTACAATAAATTCAGGGTAACTTAATAAATGGATTATCTCCATTTTATAAATTCTAAAAACCATCGTGTTGATTTTTTTTAAGTAAAAAATTAAGCCAATTAAATTTTTGAATGCATTCCCTCCAAAAACTTCAAGAAATTTAAATGGCAAAGCGCATCTCAATTTCTCAAAATTGTAATATTATGAATCCACTCGAACTAATAAAAGAAAGAGTGAGCTAGTGGACCCGTTATTACACGTGTCAATTCACGGAGAACAGCGAACCGTCGAATCGACGATTATTGCGAAATTTGGGGACAACATGTAAAAGAGAGGGCCATCCTCGTCTCTCATTTTCACAGTCGACTACATTTTAATATTTTTCTTCTTAACATCTCGAACTCGCTCACACAAGCCAAAATGACGCACGCTCATGATCTCCCTCCCCTGCTGCTTGGGCTCTCTAACCTCTAAAACCCTAACCATTTGAGCAATCTTTACTAAAGTTCGATCTCCAGACTCTTCAATTCAAAGGCATTTCACTGATTTCTCAAACCCGCTCCATCTGAATTAACGAACTGTACGTGTACACAGCTGTACAAGTTCATATAATTTGCGGTAATGTCTGGCTCCGGTGGCTTCGCCGTGTCTCGAGCTCACGGCGGAGACCGATTCTACAACCCGCCGGCACTTCGGCGGCACCGGCAGTTTTTGCAACAGCAGCAGCATTTGAAGAGGCAGCAGCGACAGCAGCTTCAGAGGCCGGTGAAGTCGGAGGCAGCGCCGCTGGAGGCGGGGAGTCGTGCCGACTGGGACGATTTGGCAACGACATTGTCGAAGCATCGTTCAGTATGCTCTTCTTCTTCTTCTCCCAGGCCTCAGACGGATTTGACTAACTTGGATCGACTAATGGAATCGGTTAGTCCGTCGGTTCGCGCTCAGTACTTGTCCGAGGTAACGGAAAAGTTAGGGTTTTTCGTTTAACTGTAGGGCAAGTAAAGAAAATCACGCTTTTGAAATTTAGTTTTACGTCCAACACTCAAGAAAACATGGTATTCGCCGCAATTGAGCTTTCCTCACTTAGTTCAGTCCAGCTCTAACTGTTGAAAAAAACAACACGAGCAACTGATTTGCGATTCAGTCCCACTCCCCAGTAATTGTTTGGGCTGTGTTTATATGATTTCTTGGCAGCCAAAGAACAAATGGTTACAGATGCTTATGTCTTCTAAAATCATATAACATAGCTGGCTATTGATATCGTTTGAAGTTGCAGGTGATGGTACGGGAATGTAGAGCTCAGGAATCCGATATACATCCTTACTATTGCCTTGAGGATCTTTGGGAGTCTTTCAGAGAGTCGAGTGCATATGGGGTGGGAGTCCCTTTGGTGTTGAATGGGAAAGATTCAATTGTGCAGTATTACGTTCCATTCTTGTCCGGTATACAGCTGTATGTGGAATCGCTGAAGTCTCCTTCAAGGCTCAGGTGAGCTCTTCACGTCCTATTCCTAAAACTAACCAAGTTTGTTGCTTCTTAGATTTGTTAAGCACACTGAGTTGCATTCAAGGTATTAGCTGTTCTGATGTTGGACTGTTATTTCTATTGTTTATCGACATTCATTTGATTCTCTATTCTAGCTAGTCGGATATATAAGGTTATAATTTTTTAGTGCCATTGATTGTCTATTCTCGCCAGTTGGATGTACAATGTTTTAAATTTGTAGTAGTGTTGTCTGTTTGAATGTTTTCATCTCTCTGTGGCAATATAGTCTGTAATATTTTTATGCAATTCTGTACTAGTCAATATAGTTGACAATTCTGCTTCTTGATATTCGGATGTCAAATCATGTCTAGATGGATGTATCTGTCAGAGTGGAAGAGTTCCTTAAAGTGATATATATATTTTTAAAATTATTATTATTATTTTTATAATTGGGGAATAGAGGGGGTGGGTGGGTAGGTGGGTGGGCTATCAATTTAAGTTTGTTTGGAATTATTTTGGCACATTAGGAGCATGTATAAATTTCAGTAAACTTGTTGGATGTGGTTCCTCAAGAAATTAATTGACTTGTGGTCAAGAGTGTTTGTTCCCTTTACTGTCCTCTTGTTTATTGGGTTATGAAGATACAAAGATTTTATATGAAAAATATAAAGTCAAACCTTATCACTTTATCAGAGATTATACGTGCTCATAGAAAGTCAGGTTAAAAGTTGAGAAAACTTTCTTCTTACTGATGCCTGTGGCATTATTGTAACTTTCACCCATATCGAACTCAAGAATAAGTTAAAAATAGTGAACAACAGTTGCTGCAGAAGTTATGCATGAGCTATAAGAGCAATGGAGAGTAGGATCTAAAGCATGATCATTTTTTTAGGGGAAGAAACAAGAAGAAGAAAGGTCTTAATCATGAAAAAACAAGTTTTATTGGTTCACTGAGTTTTACAGTGGTCGCTTGATAATTATAGTGGGGTAATTAGGTACCTCATGCTGAGCTTTTAAGGGATATAGACAGACAAACCAAAAGTTTGGGAGACTTAAGTGTTGTGCATGTGCAGATGCTTCTAGTATTAAATTATCAATTATGCAGTATAGTGCTTTTTGACATTTGTCCTTCAAAGAACTAAATTTTGTTTGGTGCAACCAAACCAAATAGTTCTAACTACCGTTACATGGAGCTTCATCAGCTATTACTTAGTCACCATGTCTCTTGGTCTTGGATATCTGCTATCCCCTTCAGGATTGTATATTTATGATACAGGTCTTACTTTCTGCTATGTCCTAAAAATAACCTATTTGTGCTGTTAAGTATAGCTACCCTTGTGGGTAAATTTTGTCCTTTGGCAAATCATAATAGGAAATAAAAAAAATATTTGCATACGAGGAACTTCATTATTCATCTCTTTATGGAGAGGCAATCTCACAATCATTCTCGGCTGTTAATTTGTTGTAAACATTGTCCCACATTCTTCCTCCCTTGAAACAACTTTGGCTTGCATGAAGAGACATTTCTCACTTGCCTTGTAAATGCTCATTGCTTAGTTGCATTAATATTTTTAACATGTACCTGTATTTCCTTTTGCTATGATTTATCTGCATACTATATGATTTGTATTGCCCAGCAAGCAATGTTCTTGGCTGGAAACAACTCATCATTTTAAAATTAAGCTTCATTGTTTATAGTTAATTCACCCAGTGTCTAGCATTCGGCTTTTCAATGTTGTTGTAGATTGTAATGTAAGTTTATGTTGGTATCTTCAAACAAGTAAATTGGATTCTTGAGCAAGTAGTTACTGAAAGACTCATTTTTTAAGTAGTGCGACATGATCTGATGTCCATCGGTGCTCAGGAAGCATCTCCTGGAAGTGGTTTTTGGGATTTGGTTGATCTTTTATTTGATCTAATTATACATATGGCATGGTTATTTGTTTAGTAAAAATGCATTATTCCTAGTAACAGTTTGTTCTCTTTAGTTGATATTTTGTTTTTGTTTTTGCCCTTTTCTTTTCTTTTCTTTTTTTTTTTTTTGGGGGGGGGGGGGGGAGGGTAGCCATTGTAGATGACTAGTTTTATTGAGTTTTGAATTTTGACATATCATTTGGCGGGTTGCTGATAATGAATGGGGAATGAGTGGTATCATAAAATAAGCTCTCATGTTTTTTTCTTCCTGACTAGATTTAGCAAATAGTGGGGACTTGACAATGGTCAGCCACGCTGTTAACTGATGGCTTTGGATCTCTCCATCTTCTATTACAATCTTATTTCATTTCTTGCGTGTGAAAATGGAAGATATTTTTATAGGTTTGAATTTAGTTAAAAATATTTGTTACTTTCCTTAATAGGATAGTGAAAATGTAGTAGATCCAGCCCTAGCATAAAATATTACTTTCTTAACACGTGCTTATACTGATTGGGATGCTATGTTTCTGTTTACTAGTGGTGTACGTGGAACTTTGCCTATGCAAGATCAGTTTGATCTCCTGGCTTGTATTGCCAACTCAGAATGACATAACTGGCTTGTAGAACTTGTTTGTTTCTCTCTCCTATCTCCCTGGAGTAAAATGAACAGTGAAGTGCCTCCTGCATAACTAATTAGTTGCTGGATCACTGTCAAAATGAATTTTTGTGTAGTTTTATAATATATGTAGTGCATAGAGATAAAATAATGTTTTCCTTGTAGCCATCAGTCAAAAACAAATGTCTAATCTGTCCTGCCCTACCATCTATTTTCTGGTTTTCAGATTAAAAGGAGAAAAGCATATGCTTGAAAAGCATATATATTCGAACACACAAAGTTCTGTTGTAGCTTCTGGTTCTCTATGTCTTTAGATTTCTGTGTACTTGATGCCTTATTGTATACCATGCCGAAGTTCAGATATGCTTGACATTCACTCTACTGTTTTAAGCTGTTTGTATACTATGCATATGTGGAAGCTTATGTGATGTGCAAATAAATGGTAAATGACTCATTCCTGTATGCTAAATGATGTGGGCTCACAAATGATTATATAACACATGAATGTGCTAATCAAACAGGCATGCACCAATGCTAATGTGATATTTTGGTTAATAAGCAACTATCATATTGATAAAAAAAGATACTTGGGAAGCATAAAGTTAAATGGATTTTTCGAAAATATAGTGTGCAAATGGCTGCAGTTTAGGATATTTTTTTTGGTCCATTTGCATTTTAAGAAGAATTTTAATACTTTTTGAGTGTTGAAACAGTTTAGGAAATCAATATTCTAGCATCTATTGGTCCCACATATTTTAAAAATGATGTGTATTACTATCCATGCACCTATTCCCCCACATCCCTCCAACAGAAAAAAAAAAAAGAAAAAGAAAAAGGGAGAAGAGAGAGCTGAGAGCTTATTAACTGTCTGCATGTAGTTCTTGTGCATTTACCTTCATTTTGGTCAACATGAGGTCAGGGAAAAAAAAAAAAAAAGATAATATAACACGTGTTCTCTTAAATGTGGCTCCAAAAGTGATGTGCTCCAAAAGTGATGTGCTCCAAAAGTGATGTGCATTGCATGGCAGCATTCTAGCCTCAAAGCTAGTCCTATAACGTAACCTCTAGTATCTTGCAGTGAAGCTCACAATATAAATAGTATACATTAATGAAGTTTTCAGCATTAAAGCCATTTATGAATAAATGGTTTTTATTTGCATCCTATAATAATCATAAAATCAGCTATGTCTAGACCTTCTTATATATATTTATTATAAATTACCATCAATTATGATATATGTTGTTGATGTTAATGCATCTGAAGCCTCCCCTGATTATGTTCCCAGATATGTAGCGCAGGTTCTAATTCGTCTGATGGAAAGCCTGTTTTACTTAGTGCCAAATTGTGTATGAATTTGGAAAACCATGAACATCTGAGTAATTTATGCATTAATTCAAGTAGAATTGTGGCGTTCTGGTTTTTAATTCATTGTGACACTTGGAACACTATTCTAAATGCCCTTTTCTATAGACTTTCAATGCTTGTTTATTTATAATTAACATATGAATGTTGAAGGAAAAAAAAAGTTTCTTTGAAATGGAGTAGATTCCAAGATTTTCAAATATCAACTATCGAATATTAACTGTTTGTTGATGAAGGTTCAAGATAAGAGTGGGTATGTATATGGTAGATCAGGTTGCTAGGCCAATTCATCTCTCAAATGAGAAATACTGCAAAGCAAGAACTTCTGATAGTTTAAAAATGAAAATCTAATTTGTATAAGTCAAAAATATAAATTTAGTTACATTAAAAAATGGAGATATGGAGGATTAAAGCCATGTGTCTTGACACTAAATCGTGCTTATAATTGTCAAACTCTTGTTCTGGTAATGCTACACGTGCTTATATATATATATATATATATATAGAGAGAGAGAGAGAGAGAGAGAGAGAGAGAGAGAGAGAGCACTCTAAGCTTGATTTGGACATGGCTTATAAACATTTTCTTAGGAAAAGTAGCATTATGAGGTAATAATAGGTAGAGGTGGGCCAAAACTAAGGCTAAAATAACGAGGGAGAGAGCACTCTAAGCTTGATTTGGACATGGCTTATAAACATTTTCTTAGGAAAAGTAGCATTATGAGAGTAATAATAGGTAGAGGTGGGCCAAAACTAAGGCTAAAATAATGAAACCTGATCTAAACTAATATTGGTTAACTAAAAATATGACATTAGTGGAGTGGAATGGAGACATGGGGTTCATGTAGCCAACCCTTTGGAATTGGAAAGGCTGATAAGAGTATACTCCAAAATATGGTAGCTATTACTTTGACCTTTAGTGAGACATACAACCTTGTGAGAATACTTGGAGACTCGTTTGTGCCACTATTTATTTCATTAGGAAGTATTATGTTGTTATCTAAGTGGAGAGATATATATTGTTCATCATGTTGCTATTTTGTTATCATGCAATTGGCGTCTTTCTCATAAACTTGGTGCAGTATCATGTGGTAAAAAATAGTTGTCAGCTTTTCTTGTGTGTAACTTCTAAAAACTTACTGTTTTAGTATATTTGGGTAATACTAATGCTTGCATTTGAAGACAGTGTGAGATAAATGCTTGATACTTTTTATGACCATTTTCTTGTAAATGACCAGGAGGCCTGTTGAAGAGAGTGATGCTAACTCTTCAAGGGAGACCAACTGTGGTGGTGGCAGTGACTGTGAAGCAGATAGACGGGCCAAAAGTGTCATGGATGGATTGTTGAGTCAGCCAAACTTAATGAATTTGAGTTCGCAACAGATGAACAGACACTCATTGAGAGAGAGGACTCTTATGAACTCATCTGGTAATGAAACAGGCAGTTCTCATGGGAAGCTCATCTTTGAATATTTTGAATATGAACAACCACATAATCGCAAACCTCTAATTGATAAGGCAAGTTCTCTTGTAGCTTACTGCATGGAGGCTGACTCCCATCTTTGTCCCAGCGTGGAAACTCATGGCATTAACCCTCAACTCCACAGGTTTCAGCTCTTGCATCTCAGTTTCCAGTACTTAGGACATGCAGGAGCTGTGATCTGTTGCCTGCAAGTTGGGTTGCTGTGGCTTGGTAAACCATTGTGTTTAAATCAAATATTACTTCTGTTTTAGATCAGAATTTTATACATTTAGTCACAGGGTAACCTGTTTATGCTAATTACATTTTGTATACAGGTATCCTATATACAGAATACCCATGGGCCCAACTCTTCGGGATCTGGATGCATCCTTTTTAACTTTCCATAATCTGTCAACAAAATCAAGAAGTATTTGCCTCTATCCTCTCTGTGTCTTGTTTGGGTGTTTGTGTGCATCAAATTTGTACTCCCATATATATATATATATATATATATTATTTATATCCAGTTGAATTTTACAGGTGACAGTCAGCTGCGGTTTCATGGTGTCAATGATAGGAATGTACCTGGGGTGACTAATAGATTTCCAAAGGTCTCTTTACCAGTTTTTGGCCTTGCATCTTATAAATTGAAAGGTTCTATTTTGACTCCAATTGGACCATATGAGTGCCAGCAAGAAAGCTCTCTACTGAAAGCTGCTGACAATTGGATTCAGGGTCTGCAAATTGTTCTTCCTGACTACAAGTTCTTCCATTCTCACTACGTGCAGCGGTGACAATGGGTTCAATAGCCTATTTGCCTTCTGAAGGGAGCAGACATTAAGGTCAGTTTTGGGATAACAGTTCCAAAAGCTAACGTGGTAGGAAAAACCTTCTTTCTCCCTTATAGATATAATTGAAACTTGTGCAGTGTTGTTTTGATATTCTGATATTACAGTGTCAAAACTCCTCATAGAGTTCAATAGTTCACAGGATTAAGAAAAATGCTTGTGGCTTCAGCCAGGTTTGTTGAGCCTAGGGTGTCAATGGTGCACTAAGACATGATATAGTTAATTGGCAAGTTCTGAGTCAGGTTTGAAGGATCTGTTACATGACTGTGTTGAGGCTTGGCCTAAGGCTGTAGCCAGCACCTGAAATCTTGATGGCCTCTCTTATTTTGTCATGTAGAGGCTATTGAAAGTGTTCATTATGCTGATATACAGACAGAACTACCAATTCTATTAGGAAATGGTTCAAAGGAGCTCTTAAAAAAATTGTGATAGTAACATAGCCATGTTTTGCATACACAAGCTTTATATAGTAGAATGCAAAACAGGTTTCTTTCTTCATAAATTGTTTATTCTCTATAATATATGATTGCTCTAAATATGCATTTGTAGCTTCTTCGTGTGATAATTGGTTTATTTATTGTGTAGTTTTGGGCTGGATTCATTGCTGTATGATTCATAATGTTCAGAGGTTAAAAGAAATAACTGACCTTGCTATTGAGCAAATTTCTGACAATATTTGAAAATTGGTATAATGCCTTTCCTTTAGCAATAATTTGAAGTGGAATGTGACCATCAGGGAGGATGCATGAAAGTCTAGGTGCACAAACTGGTCCCAGTTTCCTTGCTGGTTCATGCCATAGTGATCAAAGAGGTTTATAAACAAGCGGAATCTGGTTCTTTTAGTTACTGGATTATGATTATATCACTTAACTATATTATACATTTCATGAAATAGGGTTGTTGTGTGAAAGCTGATTAGATGCTGGTTTGTGAACTCAGAATTTCATAAAATTTGACAGCTCTATGTAGCTTTCTTGGGTGGGCAGTTGTCCAGGGAAGATGCTTTTGATCCACATTGCTTCTGTGGTAGGTCTCTGAACTAATCCATCTTTTAGAAACTGATTAAAGACTGCCCTAAAGGCCTAAATGCCCAAATCCAAGAAAAAAAGACAATGTTTACTTGAATTTCTACAGAATGGGAGACAACTAGTAACTGGTTCTTTTAGGCTTTGTAAAAACAGGATAGGTTCTAATTAGGTAGAGGTTCTAGCCACAAGTATCATTACTAGTGGTATCAATAATTCTTGATATGCCATCATATGTCTAGTTTTACTACCCAGTGAACTCGCCTTTTAACTTCAGCCAATTAATCTAGCAAACAAGTTACCTGATTTTATTGTAAATAATACTCTTTTATATTTGTGGAGAAGTTCTAATGATGCTTCCGATTTGAGTGGATGCATCATTAGCTGTCCAATCACTTTAAGCAATACAAAGAAGCCAGCGTAATTGGCAGGTCTAAGAATTTAACCAATAGGCATAGCTAGAAAAGCTGTGCTGTCTGTTATTGGTGAGGGCTCTGGCCACTGGCCCATGTTAAGCCCCACAGCTCTTGTCAGCAGATCCCAGCTAAATAGAATCCTTAAGAGTTTATTATTGCATTGTGTCTGGTGGTGCTAACTACTTTCGCGCTTACTGTATATATTCTTACTAAAACAAGGAACCTCCTCACCCTTTTCCTTACTATGTTATGGTGACTCTTTTGCTTCTAGACAAGTTCTTATTCATTTTTGCGAGTGACTTGGGAGATTGTTTCAATATGCAGTGTACTGTATTGCAAAAACTAAGAACTGAAACCTTATATAGGATTGTCACTCAAACACCGTGTCAGACCACATTTCTAGAAGGTAATACTGTAGTACAGGTGACCCTTTGTGAACTTTTGTCTAGGCAAAAGACCCTAGCGAATATGGCAATCAAGGGTCCATCCATTTCCAAAGTTCTTCCATTTTACAATGTAGTTTCATTTTCGTTTTTCATTAAATGTTTAGATTATTTTATACCTTTACACTAATCATTCAGAACTAATTTTTATTTTAGAAATAGTGACAATCCGAGATGAAGAGCTATGGATGGCTCAATTCAACTCTGAAACGGAGAGTCTCCTTGTCTTTAATATATCAAACACTAGTATGTATGAGAGATATGGAGGCAATTTGGGTTTTTTAGTGCCATAAATTCTCAGACAGTGCCCACAAGAAAACTATTCCAATTGTGGCTGTTTCTAGCTGTAAAGGTTCCGTAGAACTAAGACCCTTCCTCGGGCTGCATGTGTTTGTGTCCATTTGTGCTCTTCTCGTGCCTTTCTTACACGGCACAATTTGATACAAAAGGTGAAGTGATGCTTGATCCCCGAAAGTGGCTCATGGGTCAAACATCTCAATTGGCGGGGGTGTAGAAAGACACTGGCCATCATTGAGAATCCTCCGTCTACCTCATAGACATGTTTCTTTCAACTCTTATGAGTTATGCCCATGTCTTCGTAACATCACCCGACAATTTCCCTGATTGATGCAGAGTAACGGGGGGTTGTTGGTGAAGACGTCACGGAGGAAGAAACTTAAGGTCCTGGTTGATTGCTTAACCTTTTTTTTTTTTTTTTTTTTTTAAGATATGGGTGAAAATATATTTATCTCTTGCATCTGGACTACAAAGCCTAATGTACATGCATTAGCCAATAGTTCAGACTTCTAGTCAGGCATCAGGTTTGACGCTGATAAAAGTGTAAATTTACCCCTTTCTTTATGCGTTAGGATTTTGTTATGTGGAACTGTCTAATCTCTGATCCTAAATGATAAGATAATTACAATAGCGTATTCGTAGTCTAATTCTCACGGCAAAGCTGTCTAGATCAGGTAGATTTATTGTGATTACTTCGGCAGGCGAGGCGAGTGTCGGTTCACAAGTCCAAATCACCTAGCCGACTAGGTCGAGACAGCGGGGCTTATACTGATCAGAAGAATACAATAGAACATTGAAAAAGCCCCCCATTACCAGCAACACGTAGACAAGGGCTTATAGATAACAGATCCCAGTCAATAATAATAATGCCGACTCACAACCAAGCATCCCTTGAGTGCACGTATCTCCCAAAGCTGCTGTCCACGTGTTATGCCGGGGGAGAAGGGAGGAATCTTCTCCAATCCATGCTCCCTCCGGCTTTGACTCTCCAATGATCTCGTTCCTAGTTGCACTTAAAAGAATCTGTTTTCCGTTATCAATTGCCGGAATCACATTGTACGAAAATTTTAAAATTAGGAGTTTTTTTTTTTTTTAAATTGGAAGTTTAAAACTTTGAGACGTGTTGTTTGTTTCTTGTTTTCATTTCTTATTTTTATTTTGAAAATAATTTTTATTTTTAAATTTTAGAAAATATTTTTGGCTTATTTTTTAGAAAATGAAAATGTGTTTAGTTTAATTATTTTTAGTTAATTTAAAATAAAGATTTAATTAAATAAAATTAAAATTTTAGAGTTTTTGGCAAGGGTTTAAGTGAAAAAAAAATAGAAATTTTAAAGGTTGAATTAATGAATGAAGAGTTTAGAGATTAGATTGAATAATGAATAAGATATAAGAAATCAAAGTGCAAATCAGTTTGCACTGATCATCCCTTCTATCTAAAACCCTAGTTGCAAGGGAGAAGAAGGGTCCAAGGAGAAGAAGAATGCAAGTAGCGAAACTGTAGAGGACGGATGGATATGAAGAAGGATGCACATGAAGAACGAATTTGAGCTCTAGCCGTACATTGTCAACCATAACCAGAGTTTAGGTGATTCAGATAGCATTCATCAAGCATTGTTTAGGCAATTTCAAGTGATGTGAGCCCCATACGTCGTTGTCAACCGTAACTAGAGTTCTGGCAATTTAGATAGCACCCATCAAACATCGTTCAAGTGATTTCGAGCGATTCTAAGCCCTAGCCATACACTGGTATCAATTGTTACCAGAGTTCAGTGATTTAGATGGCACTTGTTGAGTGTTGTTAAGGTGATTTTGTGTCCTAGTTGTGCACCGCCATCAAGCATCGTTTGGCGCTAGTCAATGGACAAGTGGTGAAACCAGGGCTGCAAGGAAGAAGAAGAAAAAGAAGAACAGCAGCAACAACAACAACAACAAAGGGAAGGGGCAAAATGGTCTGGGAAGGAGAAAGGAAACATAAAACAACTTATAATTACAAAATTGCCACAGCATTTTCAATTTTGCTAAGAAAACACTGAAAAGTTTTTGTTATTTTCATTTTTCAATCTATTTTCAGAAAATATTTTTTGAAAATGAAAATAGAAAATGGACACTATACATATTTTCATGCCTCTTTTTTGTTTTCAAACGAAACAGGCCCTAAGTTTTCATTTTTAGTTTTTCTAATGTTTTTCAGAAAAAAAGTGTGACCAAAAAATGCTCAGAAGTTTTAAAAAGAACTTTGTTAATACCTAACATTAATTGAAAAGCTCAAAATATCAAAGTTTAAATTCCCAAAATCGATGAAATTTTTGGTTATCAACACCCTATGTTATGTAACACCTCTTGAGTTGAACTTAGAAAAAGATAATAACATGAAAGTGGTAGTTTTGAAACTGAGATTTAGGAATGTGACCCTTAAGAGCTTCTCAACATAAAGGGTAGCCAGGTAGGCACTTCACACTCACAGGAGTTCTGCCTGCTGCCATTCACCACCGACTTCGTACTTTAGAGAAGCTATTTCAGATGATAAACTTACAAACACACACACGTTTTGTTTGTGTGTGTGTGTGTGTGTGAGAGAGAGAGAGAGAGAGAGAGAGAGAGAGTTAGAAATTTGGGGTTGTTGACGTGGGCCTATAAGACTCAGAAATAAAATTTGCTTCTAAACCTGACCTGACCACCACCAACCACATACATGTGCCCCATAAAAAAATGGCCTGCCACCACTACTATCTCCTCAAAAAGTGTAAATAATCAAATAATATTACTGGGGTCGAATTATGAATAAACAAATCAAGGACACTAAGGAGAAAAATGGGTAAAATCCAAAAACCAAAAACCATTACAATTATACATTTGGACAGAACAACTGGACCGACAAACAACTAAGTCGCTTAGGTTTCCCAATTTATGCTGTAAATGATGAGATTTTAACAAAGACAATTAATTTCGTCGTTTCAATTTTGAACCTGTCCCCACTCCATCTGCTTCTTCTAATCGCTGTGTTCTCCATTCATGTTCATGACAGAGTACAGAGTCGCCTAATTGCAGCTGTACCCGTGAATCATAATGCTAGATCTATCGTCTATCACAGCTTCAGACAGTCACACCTAATACAGTAAAACAACGAGAAAAGACAACACAGTTGAATCCAATAAACCCCCCTTTTTCCTTTATTTTCAAAAGCCAGAAGAAACAATAGAATAGAATACAAGTCCCCTGAGATGGTGGTGGTGAGGTAATGAGAAGGAAAAATCAAAATCATCAGAAGGAAATAGAAAAAATGAAAAATTTAATAAAAATACAAAAAAAAAAGAGACAGGTGGATACTGATGACCCCGGAAAATGATGGTGTATTTACCGGCGAGTTCAGTCCACAAGCTTCACGTCGAGTTCCCGTACAAATCGTATGGTGCCCAGAGAAAGTCAAGCTGACAAGGTTGTTTTGAGTCTAGCCGGAGCCACGGCTTGCCAGAGCCGCTCCAGTGAAGGAGGCTCACCGGACCAGGGTGGAGGTCCCGGCAGCTCCCCCTGACGTTATCTCCACCAAGGCCATGCTGGTTCCACCGGTGCTCGATGGGCGCCACGTGTCCGGCGAAGACCAGTAAAAACGGAGGGAGAGAACCAAGCTCATAGATCCGTTCGCTCTTTTGGATCTCCATCCACTTCTCGATCCGCTTCGTGTACCCGAACCTCCTCCACTTCACCAGATCTATCACCATCACGCCGGTGTTGAAGTAGCACGGGTTCCGGCCGGCGAAGGTGCTAGAAAACCGCTTGTTCGACCAGAAATTAGATGTGAAATACTTCGTGAAGTTAGCATGGCAGTATTCTGGCGCTCCGATTGTTTTGCTCCCCAATGTTGTGGTCCACAGTTTGCGAATATCGTCGACTAGAACGAGATCGGAATCCAGGTATATCACCCTGCGGACGCAGGGCTCGAGCAGATCTGCCAAGTAATTCCTTGCGTAATTCAGCGGCTGTTCCAGTGCTTGTCTCACCGAAGTCGAGATGAGGCCCCGCACTTTCTCCGGATCGAAGAAATACATCTTGAACTTCAACTGCGGGAAAGTCGATCGAACTAGGGTTTCGAGATTGGTCTCAGAGACGAGGAAGTGGAAGAATATGTTGTCTGGACACGACGAATGCTGAAGGATAGAATGCACTGCGGCGATTGAGCCCCGAAGATACTCCAAATCGAGAGTAATCGCGACGTGGACCAGCAAGGGATCACATACACCTGTTTTGCCTAATATTCTCCTGTCAATTGAACTGCATTCTTCGGCATTGCGGAATGCGGAGGCTTTCCTGAAGGAGAATCGACTGATTGAATTGACGGCTCTAATCTGACTCGGTAGGCGGAGATAACCATCAGGATTTGAAGATTTAATGGCCTCTGCCGGTGGAAATGATTGCAATGACGGAGAGAGAACGACCATCACCATTGCCGCGGAGCAAAACCCGATAATCTCATAATCCAGAGCATCTTTTTACGATACAAACCCCTTCCCTTCGCCCTCCTTGATTTAAAACCAAATAGATCTGCCAAACGGGGCGAGACTATAGAGACAAGGCAAGTTAGGGTTCCTCTGACATCCGCCAGGGCTAGAAACAGAGGGCCTCTGATAGAATCCAGTCCAAACGTTCCTCCGCCTTTTCTCTATCTGCCTCTCCCTCCCCCTCTCTCTAATCGGATGCCGTGGGAACGAAGCGATCTTTGATGAGAGAGAAAGTAGAGAGAGAAGAATCCATGAACCGAACCACCAGAGGGGGGGAAGAGGGAGCCGGGGCCTGGCACTGCTCTGCGCCGACGTGCGCTGCAGTCCTGAGAGTCTCTGTCTAACTTTCTCTCTCTTGGTTTGTGTTTTTGTTTGGGGGGGGGGGGGGGGGGATGGAGAGCAGCAGGAAGCACAGAGGCACAAGTATAGAGAGGGAAAGGTGGAGGGAGAGAGACGGAAGACTTGGTTTTGTTTACGAATTATTATCAACTTGGCTTGGCCTTTTCCACCATAGAAAGCCACGGCCAAACCATCTTAATAATAATAATAATGCTTTTATATAATTTATAATTACAAATAATAATTAGTTTGTATTCTAAATTTTTCATAAGGGGGTGTTTTCGGGTTTTTCATTTTTTATTTTTTTGTATACAAAAAATCAGTTTTGATTGATCATCTCAAAACAAACCCATATGTTAAAAATGTTTAAAAATAAATATTTTTGACTTTGGACATAAAAAAGTAAAAATAAAAAATTTGACTGGGTATATTTAGTTTTAGGAATTTTTTTTTTTAAATTGAGCCTTATTATGGGAAAAAATTAGATCTTTTATATTACTGATTTATTTAAAAATACCCAAATTTAAGTTATTTTTTATTTTTACTTTATATATATATATATATATATATAATCTTAAAAAAGTAAAATTGGGCGTGCCGAAAAAGCAAGCTTTAACGGGTGTATTTGAGTTGAATAGAGCAGTTGCTAAATAAACATCGTGAGTTTAGAAAGAGAAGCTACATGAATAGGTGTGTGTGGAAGGAAGGAGGGAGAGTACAGCTGTCCTTGTCTTCTATCGTAATGGCATTTACGTCCTAGCCTGAGCCTCTGTGGCCCAGCACATCCTATTCTTGGAAGCACACATGGGATACATCCCATTATTTTGGTTTACCATTTTTCATTTTCCCTTTTTCTTATCTTTTAAAGTTTTCAGAAAATAAATTAACCAAAAAAAACTATTTTACGAACAATTATTTTCCATTTTGCTTCCAATAAAAAAAATTATAATGACATAAAAACTATGGGCTTTTGGCCCTGACCAAGATAAATAAAAGCTGGTTTAATTCTCATGAATTTTGTTTTTTTCCCTTTTTTTTAATTAAAAAATTTCGTTCTCAACCATTATTGTGATGTTTAATCAGATAAGAAGAAGTTTCTCTTTGATTGCTCCGTCAGCCCTCGCAAGTTCACGTAATTGTTGAAGTGTTCAGTTTGAAAGGTGCCTGTTTGAAAATATAAAATATATGGAATTCATTTTTTTTATATTTTAAAATATTCATATACTTAATTTTTTTGTTAAATATTTGTATTTCTAGAAAATTCAATATCTTTAGTATAAATGTGAGGTAATGAACTTACTAAGTTTGACTTTGACTTTTTCCAACCACCAGCGGCTTAGGAAATGCAAGACGGGAACATTTAGCCGTCGGGGCGCTGCAGTGGCAATCTTAAACGCGAAGGAACGCCGCCGGCAAGAAAAACGATGCAGTTCTCGTCATCTCACAATCTGTAGTCGCTACTAAATGCACCACCCTTGGCCCAGTCTAACACCAAAAAAAATAAATAATAATAATAATAATAATTTACAAAATCTTAAATATACCCAACAAGTGCTAGATAGTGATTGGGAAAAGCATCAACCAATCCGTGACAAATTCTTGTGAACTTTCGCTGCAGTTTTTATTTTATCTTTTCTATATCATAATAATATAATTATACGTTGCCTTTTCTTTTCTTAGGTGCTAAGGAATTTAAGTGACAATGTCCTTAAAAATTTTTCTTTTCTTTTCGTCAGACTGAGTAACTTGTAATTTTAAATTTATTAACAAATCAATACTTCTACTCGTTTGAGTAACTAGTAATTTTCAATTTATTAACAAATCAATACCTTTACTTGTTTAATTGAGAAATAAGTATTTTTTTAGATATTTACAAGAATTTTTATTCATTTTATAATTTAAAATTAATTTTATTAAGAGTATTGTAACTCTTTTTTTATAAAGGCATACTTTTATGAATTCAACTTGACTATAATCCAGAATATAAAAGAAATATGGTATGTTTGATAAAAAATACAAGATTTTTAATTTAGTAATTTAATAATTTCTAATTAATTAATGAAAAATATTGATATTAGTTTGGGGATACTCGTCAATCAAATTCTAATTAAGACCTTTTGTTTGCTCTAATTTGATTACTTGACTTCTAATTTCCCCATAGATGGAAGGGCAAATTTTTTTCACTCACTTTTGACTTTAAGCAATACAGCCTAACCGATAAATTTACTATTTCACAACTAAATATAGATTTATTTTTAAATTTTTGTGTTGGTTACAGTGGAACAAAAGTCTAAAGAGAAGGTAAAAAAACACTACACTAGCTCCAACCTCTCATGAAGGAGAAGTTTTCTCGTATAATTTGAGGAAAAGGTCTAATCTTTAAGTTCAAACTCATGGGATAAACTTAGATTTGCCAACAAAATTTTATTTTTTAATTTTTAGTCATGTGATTACTTCAACCAATCTCTCTCTCTCTCTCTCTCTCTCTCTCTCTCTCTCTCTATAATGGGCTTGGAAGGCAAAGGTGGGCTTCATTTTGGTTCTGGCCCATATCTGTGGGTCAAAAGGTGCTATCGCTCCATTATTAAATTCTAAACCATTTCCAAGCAAGACGCGAAGCTATGAAACAATTAGGATTGATCACGAATTGCGTGCAGGAAGGGGATTGCTTCTTTTTTTTCCTAAATTTTTTTTTTTTAATTTTATATTATTTATATATATATTTAAGCTATTTAATTTTAATACTATAATATTAAACTTTTAAATTATATATATTTTTAAAAAGATATAAATAAAATATAGGGTAGTGAAATCCGCATAAAGGCACTCTAGCCGAGTCGTTGGTGGGAACTTGGGAGTGTGGTACCTCCATTCCTCGTACGACAATTTTCCCGTTGCACAGTGCTCCCGTGAAAAGGTGTCATCCAACTTTCCACATATTCACCTCCTTCACCCATCTCTCACAATTCACCCTCTTCTTGATAAATTCCACCTTTTCTTTTATTTTTACAATTTAATTAATAATTATTTACATTAATTTATAAATTAAATAGATTGAGCTTTTGAAATTTTATATATAAGAATAACTTAAACTGTTCAAACATCTAATTCTTTGTCGTACTAAAGAAGTCCTTACAAAAGATTGATTTGTTGGGAAACAAACGCTTCCTTAAGCAACGAATCCTACAAGTATATAACAAAGAAGTTCACGAGTACACAGTTTACCAAACAGAGGATAGCTTATTGGAAGAATACCTATAACGTTAAATAAAGCACAAAAATCAGAATCCTTCCCCCCATTTTTTTATTTTACTTCTACTTACGGCAATTGTAACTTTCTTGGTGTATAGCGAATCATGGCTGCATCGCGGAGCACCAATTGTCCCTGCGCCTCAGAGAGTTGTAGTAATCAACGATCACCTTCTCATCATACTCCTTCGACGGGCCCTTTCCGAGCCCTACGATGGATTCGTCAACCTGCTCACGGAAGCCACCGCTGATCGCCGGCGAGTTGGCCATCCGCAGCATCAAGTTCACGTACGCGTCGCGAAGCCTAGCCAGGAAGTTCTTTGGCGAGAGCCACAGCTTCAGCTTCGGGGCGATTCTTATCCTCCAGCGCCGCCGCCTCCGGTCACCGTTTGCGGCCAGCTTCAACGGTTCTGACGCCGCCGGCCTCCGGAGCCAATGAGCATCTCGTACCTTCTCCTCCTCCAGTACCTCCTGAGCCCTCCGTGCATTCTTCGTCTGCTCGCTTAATCTTCTCTGTAGAGATGTATTAAACAAACGCATGGGTGCGCGCGCGCGTGTGAGAAAGAGAGAGGTGGGGGAGGATGGTACGAGGTGCCAGCGGGATTCTCATAAATGAAATGCTGATTCTACCTGTATTTCACCATTTCTCACGAGGTGCCTGTAAAAGATTGTCGATCTTTTCTTTTCTTTTTGTTGCAATAATTTTAGCCGACAGTAGCATGTTTGTTTAGGTTTTTATTTTTTTAATAAAAATAGAAAGTAAATTTGAAAATACGTTTAATATTTTATTATTATTGAAAATATTTTAAAAAAATGAGCTGAATATTATAAATTATAAAAAGTTTTTTCAATATTTTCTTTAAAAAAATTTTGGAAATAAAAAATATATACTGATAATGTGAAACAATTTTCTGAAAATAAAAAATTCTCAAACCAAATCAAACATATATTTTCTAATATATTTAAAAAAAAAAAAAAAAAAATCCTAAAACCAACCGTGTAGTGTCGGTTGTCTCACTTTCACGTGCAGTTTTCACCATCACCATATGCGGTAAATTATGCTTGATTCGTTCCTCTCATGCATGTGATATTCTGGAAAGGGTCAGATACACCAAACCCAGAGTATTAACGAAGTTATCTACGGTTATTAACACAAACCCAACAATAATCTTACGTATGTTATCTACTACTAAAATTGATACACAATTAATTATTCAATAAATATTTATTAACTCAAATTAATTATTAAATAATTTACAGGTCAACGCTCAAACATCACAACTTGTCTATCTCTTGTTACGTGACACAAAGTCAAGTATATAATATTAGTCGTGTTACTGTTGGGACTTCTTGTTTGACACCACACGTACTATCATCTATCATGAAGATAATATCTCAGCGTTTGAGGTTATGGGTGCCTCCAAGTGTGGAGAAAACATGAGCAAGGAAAGCGAAGAAGCCCCCGAGGAAGCGCAAGAGCCAGGACAAGCAGAGCAGAGTCCAATCGTAGAAGCCTTTCTTCGGGAGGTGGCTCCGGTCGGCGACCAGCAAACCTCTGTAAACAGCTTCGGCGAGAGCATAGGCGGTGACGGGGTCGGACTCGTCCGCCAGAAACCGTACTCGGTGAGGCAAACAATGTCGTACGCTCCGGTGGCTTCTGATATACCCAGGTGCTCGCATATTCTCAGCCGCGACTCGATTCTGTCCTCCGTTGATAGCTTGTCGCCGTGCGTTAAGATCAAGATGGGGCTTTCATCTGCACTCACAATTTGTTATTTCTATTCAAGAACAAGTAACTTCAACTCAAGATAGCACTAAACAAACAGGTGGATGATGGAAAATGACTACAAAATTTGGGGAAGAGGGTTTATTTATTTATTTCTTCTTCTTCTTCTTCTTCTTATTCTGTCTTCTATTTTCAATTTTATTTTATTTTTGTGCTATTGACAGCGGTAAATAGCACCAAAACGGGTTATTTTTTGGGAATCAAACTTAATTGAACTAATGGATTGATAAATAATAAAACGAAAAATGACACTTCACCCTTCTAAATTTAATTTTTAGCACTGTATAAACATGTATAAGAGATTATCTTCTTACAAATTTTTAAATTTATACAACTTCCCTTCCATCAAAGTTCCAGTGAAGTTTGCAATGAATATTCTAATATTTCGGTTGGTGTTTTGAGTATTTCTGTTGAATTTTTATGTAACTACGAACAAAGATATTACGCTTGCAATCTTCTTTAACATTTTGTAAGTTGTGTACAGAGTTTTTGTTTTTATGAGAATATAATATATTTGTTTACTAATTGCCATATTTCAATATTAATTACATTTCTAACTTCTTAAAATTTTTTATTAGATTATATAAGATAGGACAATATCAAAGTATAAATCAAAAGTTGAAAATAAATAACAACTAATATACAGTTTAGAAAGAGAATAATATTTTAAAATTACTCATAACCCTAGTCATTGAGTCTCGGAATTTATTTCTTAAATGGTATCTATGCCTTTTAAAATTTGTAGTAAAAATCTCATCGGAGTATTAATCAAATAGCCCTTGTTATAGATTTAAAATTCATAAATAGGATTATTTTTTTTAGAATAAAGTTCTAAAAATTATATTTTTAAAGTGAAGTGCTATTTATTTATAATAAAATAAAAAATTGTTAAACAACATAGACAAGTAGTCTAAATACATTAATTAGGGTAATATATATATATATTGGGGTTATCATGTATGCTATAATATTACTTATTTTTTTGTTGGGAAAGTACAAAAAATGTGAATTTAGAAAGAACAAAACTTATCACTCCGTGAATATTGGCCTATTTCTTGCCCCCCCGCCGCGACTTGGACAGGGAATATTGGTGCAATGTCCAGTTCTCCATTATTAGTGCAGTCATGTCCCACCCTTCATTTTCAAACAAAATGTCCAATCAAGAATCATTTAGATGGTTAATTAGGTAGATATATGCCCTTTTTAGACTAGACTATCTAATCGCACACGTAATTAGAAGATCCGCCGATAAAAAACAAAAAAGAAGTCTTACTGTGCTTTCGCAGCGCCGGCGAGCAAAAGAGCTCTTTGGTGGCCTCCAATGGCTTCTTGTCACCGGCCTTGAGAGCATTCCAGATCTCCCAAACGTTCGCCACCATCATCACGCAGTTCACTCTTCTCTTGGCGAACTTTGAGAACAGAGGACCTTCCGGCTCTTCTTCTTCCGTCAACCCGTTATTCCCCGGTCTAAAGCAGAGCTGCTGGTGGCGAACCCCATCGGCGACCCACTCCGATAACTCTTGGACGGAGTCTTGAACCGGGCGGTTGTAGTCAAAGCCTCTAGTGTCGTAGACGCAGAATCCGCTTCGCATGGATCTCAACACATTGTGCTCCTCCATGAACTGGGTTGTGCGACTGCGAGTGCTTCCTGCACTCCAGAAAGGGAAAAAGAAAAAAGAAATGAACCTAGAATTGAGCAGCCATGTCTATGCAAGAAGTTCAAAAACTAGATTTGACATTTTTTTTTTTCGTGTTTATATCTGTTTGGATTTATGTTTCTAAAATCAGAAAACACTGAAGATGTTGACAAAAGTATTTTTGTGTTGTTTGATTTTCTAGAGAAAATAATTTCTTAGAATTCCAGCAACTTCTCATATGTGTTGTAGAATAAGTCTATATCTAAAAATTCTTCCAACAACGTTTCTGAAAACGACTTGCCAACCAGGCAAGCAGGTTTCGTATGCTGTTTGGATTTGTATTTTGTTTTCTGTTCTCAGTTCTCAGTTTTGGTTTTCTGCCATCAAAAATATCGGAAACTAAATCGTTTCCATTTTTAAGCGAAAAATGGTTTATGCCAATCCTGAAAATAACTCTTATTGTTCCCTAAAATTAGAAATATTTTCTGAAAGTTCTCCTTAAAGGTGTTCTTCAAAACAACCTGCTGCAAAGTAGGGTTTCTTTTGTCTTAAGAAAGAAGGAAAAACAAACAGCACAAATCCAAGCAGGAATATATCGGAGTTTACCTGTAGCGGTTTGGGCAAAGGGTATGAGCCCAGACCTTCCCAAAACGCTGTACATGAGGTTAATAAGCGAGCTCTTGCCGGCGTTATGAAACCCCACCAGAAGAATAGTGTTTGTAGCCGGAATATCCATCTCTTCCTTCTTTATTCCTCCAGTTGGCACCCACAGATCTCCACAACGGTAAGCCAAGAGCTTGTGCCTCAGCTCGTCGAGGCCTTCCGGCGCTACCAAGGCCAACCTCTCCAGCTCTCTTAGAACTCTTACCCTCGGCGTGACAATCTTCGACAGCTCCGTTGGCGCCTCCGTCTTCAGCCTCGCACATTCATCAAACTTCACCGCCGATCTCCACCAGCAATGCCGCCCCATTTGGGCGGGGGGTTCATAGTCGTAGTCTAGATGTAGCTGATCTTTCATGTCTCTAAGGTGCGTGTTTTTTTCCCCCTTCTTTTGACAGCTCCCTCGTGGGTGTATTCGTGGAAGAAGAGTCTGGTTTTCCGAGGAAGTAGAAAGGAATAGAGATACAATCACGGTTCACAAACTTGAATTAAAATGTTTAATGTAATGACTTACTGGAGTAAATAGATGGATGAGATTTTGAAATTGAGAGACTTTTAATTTTCATAAAAATCTATATTTAGTAATATTTCACGTTATCATATTAAATTTTAAATTTAAATTTTTTTTGAGCTATTTATGAATTTATTGTCCGACCGAATGTATTTAAAGTCCGACGTGGACGAAGGAGCACGTGAACCGTTTGTGGCTGCAGAAAATTTTGCATGAGGGAGGAGGTTTTGCATGTGGCTTCGCGTTCAGTGGCACAGACGAAGATTCTCGGCACTTTCACACTACAGGACATTGCTTTCCAACTCTTCAGTCTTCACTCTTCACAATACCAAATGGGTATTTGAGTAATTCTACCTGCATCAACGTTTTACTCGCGTAAAATTTGAGACGACCTTTGAAGGCGTGTTTGGATAGAAATGAAAAATGATATTAAATGTGATTTGAAAAAGAAAAAGGGGATTTGATTTTTTTTTATCATCTTATTTGCATAGTTCGAGAGAAAACAATTGATATATCTGCAGATATAATAATTAAGTTAGATAATTCTTAAATACTGAATTCATTTCTTATCAAAGGTCGTATTTTTAAAAAAATAATTTCTGATCAATTATCTCGATTTCTTTTCAAAATCTATGAATAAAAGTTGTTGGCAGTACACATTATGAGTAAGTTTGAATAAATTTTTTCAAAATATTTTTTATTAAAATAGTTTTTTTCAAAAATTATTTCATACTAACTTTGAAAAAATTTAAAAAAATCTGATTTTTTTAAAAAAATTCTTTTAAAAAAGTTTACCTAAACACTTAAAATTTTTCAGAAGTTCTTTTTTATTTGTTTTTTTGTAAAAAAATTTAAACAAACGCAGCCTTGTGTCTTATTATACATAGGGTATAGAATTGTACGTGCAATAGGACAATATCATCGACTAAAAGCGAATGCTGAATCTTTATCTTTGTTGTTAATGACTAAGAAGTGTAATAAAGGCGTTTTTCTAATAAGTAGATTTGTTTTGAACTTCTAAAAATAGTAAGTTTTTTGATTTATTTAAAATTAAAATAATTTTGCCAAGAGTCTTCATACTCACTTTGCTGGACCTTTGCACGTCCTGAAGGGTTTTTTTTTTTTTTTTTTGGGAGGGGTTGGTTGGGTGGGGAGGGGGGGGGGGGGGAGGGTGTGGGGAAGAGGGATCAGCCCTGAAGGGCTACAGTTTTACCAAAGAACTGTGGGGATTTTGGGCTTTTCTACAATAATCAGACAAGGACTTTATTTATAGTTATCCGAAATGGACTGGGCCCACTAGGGTAATTTCCAGTAGAATGGTGCGAAACCCCTGACAGAAAAGCAAAAGGAAAAAAATAAAATAAGGAGCTTCTCAATTTCAACATTTTCTTCTTCTTCTTAATTTTTTTTCCCCCTTTAAAAATCCTCATAGTTATTACATTGTCAACTAAATATAAACCCTAATGTTACCAAAAAATACTACGGGGTGTTGCTGGTGGGGTGTTCACATCCCACATCACTTGGACTTCACGTGTGTGTTATGTATATCTCTTATATATCTTGAAGTTTAGAACTTTAAGTTTAAGTTTGAGGTTCCTAATGTTACCAAAAAAAAAAAAAAAAGAGAGAATTACAGAACAGGCTGGGCTTACGGGAATGCATGCTCGCCCAGAAACAGAGTGAAAAGAATGTACTAGCAATTAGAACCACACAACCTGTCACCAAACACAGAAGATTCCAGTAACCAAAGAAAATGTTGAATATTGGGAAAGACACAAAAATACAAAACCAGAATAAGTAATCTTATGAGGTAATAAATAAACAGAAAGCAGGACTTCCAGATTAATACACTTCATCCAATCATCAAATGTTTTTAACAGCAAAACAGGAAAAACTATATGCTTGCAAGCATCTTCCACACTATAAATACATGCCCGCAGCCGTGCCTTTCTATTATATAATGCGACCTTAAGGATAGAACTCTATTTTTCCTAGCCAGTAAAATCAGACCCCAAAAAAAGATCACGAAGCCATCGCCATAATGCTTCAACCTTTCGTTCAATAAACTATAGCACAAAGTTCATGATAACTCACATGAGGGACAAAAATAAAAAAGGACTCTGGAACTCTACGTTCTTTGTGCGGTTCCTTTTCCGTGGCAAAGGATCCCAAGCACTTGCTCAAACATTTACCATCATTAATCATATTTAGACAACTCGTTTTGTATTCACCAAACCACTGTAAAGGCAAAAACCGGCAGCTTCCCTTCAACCTACAATTTCTGAATCTGGACTAAACCAGAGCTGCTGACAATGGAAAGGTATTATAATCACCAGGCCCCAAACAAAATGTTCCACTGGCCCAAACTCAAACTGGAACTGATATTTAAACACCACCTGAACACACCCTGCAAATCATCAACAAGCTAATAAGCACACAATTTAACAGTTCTCTGACACTCTGCCATTTTTTATGGTCCTGATAATTTAAGAAGATAGTTATGCTATCTTGGTGATCCAAGGTGCAGAGGTATTTGGATCAATGCTGGAAGTGTGTTGCCCTTGTTTGGCTTAAGGGATAAGTTGAAAACTTGCTTAGAAATGTCGATTAGCAAACAATATTTCAGCACATATGCAATTACATTGAACCTCTGGTTGACAGGTCAAAGATATAGTACACTTTATTACACATCAATTCCAGTATGCAATGCCAGCAAGCCAGGTCAGACACCTCTTCACTACACCTCAAGCAAAGGCTATAAACAAATAGTAAATCTTTGTACAAAGCAGAATTGGCAGAAGAATAATCAACTTAAAGAGAACACATACCTTTATCTGAAGTTAAATCCACCAGATGGAACTGGAAGTTCATTCCCTCCAAACTGGAATCCAGACTGAGAAGCATCACCTGGAGGCAATTGCTCGTCCTCTTCCTCCAACCAAAAAGTCTCAAGAATCTTTACTGCTTTCTCATAAATTTCATTATTATCGTGACTCTGTAGGTTTTCTATCTTTTCTAACCCTTCAGCATCATCAACCGACTGGGCATATAAATTTACATTGCCTGTATTGCCCTTGTTCTTCTCTGCTTCCCCAACCGTTAGGATATTCTCAAGCCCTTCCAAGCACACTGTGACTATTCGTGGATCAGGACAAACTAGAAGATCACACAAAGGCTTAATACACCCCTGGCTCACCAATAATCTGTTAACAAATAATAAAATCAGATCTCTGAACTTAAAACGTAATAGCTAAAGAAAAGTTGAAATAACATACTTTATTTGCTCAGGGGTGCCACCAGATGTAGCATTGGAAATTGCCCAAGCAGCCTCTTTCTTGACCTCAAACTCTGCAATTTGCAGCAGTTGGACAAGTGGTGCAATAATACCAGCCTCAATTACAGCCTAAATAAATAAAGAACATTTAGCAGTAACCCTTTTCAACACGGATAATTAACAAACATAACAACAAAAGATAAGGTTCTGCTGTTTCTCCCAGTCAAACCTCATCAAAATACATGACATATTAATTGCTTTGGCACAGGAAAATGGCTTTTTTCTTTACCAAACTCTCAAATTATGAATTTAGAGATATTGATCCAAAGCATATACCAACAGTAAGAGATTCGGCATTAAAATAATAGAAGGGAAGAAAGAAACAAAATAGATTCATGATAAGATAGCAAAGAGATGCAAAAGTACTGCCAATTAGGTCAAAAGCATTAAATCTAAAGCATAGATCCATTTTTACAGAAAGGTCACCTGTATCTGATCCCTATTTCCAGCAGTGATGTTTGAGATGGTCCAGCAAGCTTCCTTTTTGATACTCTTCTTGTAACTATGCACTAAAAGGTTCAGAAGACAATGAAGAGCTTGATGGTCTATAATTACCTGAAAGGAGGCAAAGAAGAAAGAATCACAACTAACAACTCAGAAGGCAACCATAGGCACATCTGAAACAACTAAATTCCAACTTGCAATGAATGCTGCACCCACCTTTCAGGTGATTAACCAAGAAAGTACCAAATCAAGGAATCAAAATAAAATGCACAGAACATGACAGGCAGAAATGACTAAATTGCATTTTACTCGTGGGATAGGATTACAAAGAATAAATTATACCTTGGGGACTAGTGAGGGATTGGACACCAAACTTTGCGGTAGGACTTTTGTACCATGTATGGCTGGGGTAGGATGAAAAATGTTTTTAAAGCAGGCTAATTATTTCGAAGTATTTGTGTTGTGTTAGAGCATGTCAATGACATGGGACTTTGATGAAGAGTGATAACCCACCAACCCCTACCCATGCTGAAAATTAAATAAATATATAACTAAATAAAATAATCAAATTCTGCATACTTAATCATGCTCTAGTATACAGAACTAAATTTCTATATAACTGTGCATACACACATGTATCGATATATAGGCACATAATTTAGTATAAAATCCATTAATATGTCAAAGAGGGCGACCATAGAATTAACACTAAAGTTGCTCCTTTGTGACAGAAGGTCAAGGGTTTGAATTACAAAAGTAACGTAAATATGAAGAATTTTTAATTATTAGAAATGAAAAGAATAAGAAATGAAAGAATGATACTCATCATAGCATTAAAACCACAACTTAATATCACTGTCAATTAAAAGCAGTTGCCACATTCAAAGTCCAAAAAATGGCATGCTTTTTGAATACCTGAGTTTGAATATCATCCCCAGTAACAATGTTACCAACCGTTCGCAAAGCAGGAACAAGGACTGTTGGTGATGGATGACTAGAAACAAGATATAAATGTTTTGTTAACAGAAAGGAAAAGATAAAGAAATATTTTGTGTAGTCAGCTTAAAGGAAATATTTTCTGTAGTCAACTTAAAGAAAATACATTGTTTAGATTGAGAACAAGATCCATTACTTACAGCAATAGTTCAACTAGATGGGGGCAGACACCAGCATCGATAACAGCTTGGATCTTGTCATTTGTACCATCAGAAAGATATGATAATGCCCAGCATGCATCAGTGAGGACTTCTTCATCAGTTGAATGTATAAGACGTGCAAGAACTGGTAGTGCAGGCTTTGTCTGCCCAACAGATTTCAAATGCAGATGAATTTCAGAAATAGATATCACTGCAAAAAAAATATATACAAAACAAATACCAGGGCTAAAGTATCTCCAACCTGCTCAAACTGAGGTTGCGGCTTCCCCCTACAAAAATTTGACAATGTCCATGTAGCATTTCTCAACATAGAAAGTTTTGCATGCTCATTGAATTGAGCCAATAATGGCATGAGTGCTCCATGATTAAGGACAAGATCGCGACATTTAGGAGAATCACCAGCAACGTTTCCCAATGCCCAAACAGCCTATAAAATTTATACAAGAAGTTTACTTAAATATACTTTAGAATTCTGCATTATTTATTAAACAATTGATTGGCAACTGCACAATAGATTTAGGCTCTAAAATGCTTATCATAAACTAGACAAATCCAGGACAAAGGATTTGGAAGCTATCACTTGTAAACTTTTATGACGTATACCTGCTCACGAACATCGTCGCTGGGAGAACCAAGAAGTCTCACAAAAATTGGAACAGCTCCATGATCAATTACAACTTTTGTGTTATCAGATGTTCCTGATGCAATGTTTGTGAGAGCCCAAGCTGCTTCGAACTATAAACATTAAACAGTCACCAACACAAGCAGGTAAACACCTAAACGTATGAGAGAACATATTCATAAATAGGATATTCAGACCTGAAGCTGCGGGTAGTCATCCCTGCCAAGAAACTCAACAAAGCATGGAACAACACCAGATCGTATCACCTCCTCAATAGGAGGATTGCGTTCTGATGAAAGAATTACATTAAGGGAACAGATACAAATAATGACAAACAACTAAAAAGAAAAACAGAGTCAAACAATATCAGATAAGGGGGCTACGGAAGAAACCTATTGAGAGCAGCTTTCTAAATTGAGTAGTTGCTTCAAGCTGTAAGCTGCTATTATCTGACCAAACACCAGAAACCATAGCCGGAAGACTTTCTAGCTGCAATGCAACGTGAAACAATAAAACTGAGCAGAAGAAAGCCTAACAAATTCTGATATTGGGGTGAGAGGAAAAGGCCATTCAATGACACGTGGCAGAAACTTCCTTCTGCTTCAGATCGAACAACTCCAATATTTATCAACTTGAACAATAAATTGACGGTATCTTTGTCATTAATCTCCTGCACCTATGTTATTAATATTTTAATGTCTCAGGAACAGGAAAAAAAGGATCAGCTGAGTTGACCAGTTTATCATAAAATTAAACACTGATAGATAGTTGCAAGTCAGCGACAACAAATTAACATAACAACAATCTACTCTGAGTGAGGAATCTGCTTCAGATCGAACAACTCCAATATTTATCAACTTGAACAATAAATTGACGGTATCTTTGTCATTAATCTCCTGCACCTATGTTATTAATATTTTAATGTCTCAGGAACAGGAAAAAAAGGATCAGCTGAGTTGACCAGTTTATCATAAAATTAAACACTGATAGATAGTTGCAAGTCAGCGACAACAAATTAACATAACAACAATCTACTCTGAGTGAGGAAACAGTATAAAATACTGATAAGAATTGTCAGGTCTTGAAATCTGCAATTACCAACTGTCTAGTGGCAATTATGCAATCGGCTTAAACTTATAGAATTGGTGAAAAGATAGAGGAACCTTCTTGTCCATTTGAGAGACACTGAGGGCAGCTGGGAATTGCTGGCCTTGAAGGCCCTCGCGACGCTTCTTAAGTAAACTCTCTTCTCTTTTGTTCTTTCTGATCTCAACCATGTTGTCTTCCCTCCTTCGCCGGCCTTCGTCTGCATCGACAGCGACCTTATACCTGCTCCGGCGAACTTCGGTTCTCGTCCCGGCCTCAGAGACATGGTTGCTCGATCGGACGAATTCCTCAATAGCCAAGTAGAAAATACGATTGGTGTAACTAGTTATGTGTATGTATATGATGAATACGAGCACTTAGGTATATATCGATGAAGGCAACCGAGATAATTTGGGCTAGAGAAAGACAGAAGGCGAACAAGGGAGGGTGTGAACTTCTTGGGACAGAGGTTGGATGGCCGATCATTATTGGCGGTTTCAACTACCGGTACTTTCAAGAAGGGGCTTGGGTTTGACCATATTAACGAGAACACCACTGCATTTTGATAATATTTCCGTAGTGGCGGGGCAAGCTCTGCCCAATCGGAACAATTCGTTTCGCATTTGAATCTTCACCGTCCATGTCCAAATCCCGTGTTGGATTGCTTATTTGGGCATCGTCAGTGGAATTCAGTTCAGTTCCAATTTGCAAGGCCCATCTGGTATACACGATGCGTCGATTGCTGAGTTTAGGCCCATCTACAGGCTGTTGAATTGAGCTGAGGGCTCCCCACGTCGTTTTGCCGCGATTCATTTTAGCTTTTTCAAATTTCAATCGTCCAAATTCGGGTCGTGGAATTTTTGATTTTCAAATTTTTGTCTTGTTGAATCCTTCAAGCCGAGTTCACGTATGCTTATTTAATTTTGTAGACCTGCTTAGCAATGGAAAATTAAAATTTAAATTACAAAAATTATATAATGGCAACCAGATTAAAGCAATAATCTTTTATATATATATATATATATATCCAAAATTCTCGGGATCAAATTAGAAAAGGTAGAAATTTTAGGCATAAATATGATTAATGAAATGGAATTTGAGATTTAATAAAAAAAAATATTATTATTTTTATTAAATTAAATTTTTTGGTCAAATTTTAGATTATATATTAAGTTTAAATATGAATTAACACACACATGTATATATTTTTATAAAATTATATATAAAATAATAATTGGATGCAAATTTTCCTAATTTTATTCAAATTTAACACCTTAACGATCCTAGATTTAACATTGCAAAACTTAAATTTAATTAAAAAATAGAAAAATATTACAACCATCTAGATATCTAATGAATTTTCTACTAAGATAAAATAGTTGGAGTGTTTGAGAAAAAGGACGGTGATGGAATAATTGTTGGGGCATGAGAAAATAATAAGGTGAATTTTGGATACGTGAGAAGATGAAGACACACCAGATATTGGTATCTCCAAGGGCAATTGAAAACCTGGGTTTTTTGAAAAACATCTCGTTAGGTAGGATTTTTAACGCCTGTTACAAGTTTGTTTTCCATCCACATCTTAGGGGCGTTTGGATGAGGAGATAAGATATAGGGGGATAAGATATATGGGGATAAAATTTATCATGGGATATATTTTATCATACGTTTTGTTTAACAGATAATAAATGGGATAAAACTTTTGAAATGTAGAATAAAAGTAATAATTTACCAAAATGCCCTTTTATGAAATTTACCAAAAATTTATCTGGATTTGAAAAAAATAAACCCAGATCTGGATTTGAAAAAAAAAACCCAGATCGGGTAAATAAAAAAAAAAAAAAAAAACGCAGAAGTTCCGATCGGGTTCTTCGTCTTCGTCTGGAATCTTCGTCTTCGTCTTCATCGTGGGCGGCGGCGGCGTGTCCCGATTGGATTTAAAAAAAAAAAAAACGCAGAAGTTCCGATCGGAGCCCATCGTCCTCGTTGCCGTTGGCCAGGAGCGGCAACCGTCGTCCTCGTCCCCATCTGCCACGAGCGGAGCCCCGCGTCCTCTGGTGTGTCGCCTTCGTCGTGGTCGGACCAGAACTGCAGTGGAACAAAAATCGCTTGTCAAAGCTTCAGCTCTGTGCTACTGTGCAAGGGCGTTTTCGTCCTTAACTGAAGTTTATCAGGGGGGATAAGTTTTATCCCCCCTTCAGTCGCGGGATACGTTATCAACTCAGTCAGATACATATCTTTCTCCCATTCGGTTACAGGCTAACCGAACACAGGATAAGACTGATAAGAATTATCTTATCAGCCCTTATCAGGCCAACCGAACAGGGCCTTAGTATTTTAAATATAATCATCCTACTGAACTGATTTTACGACTAACAAATAAATATTATATTTCTATTTTTGTAATTTTATGTAAGAATAATATTATCTCAATCGTATAATCTACATTAATATAATTTATCATTTTAAACCCTAATTAATTACTAAAAATGTATAGAAAAAAAATAAATTGATTTGATACGAGGCCAATTATGGCACAAAAAATGCCGCCAGCGTACCACAAACTACCGCCCAACGAGACATTTATAACGGGCGGCACTAAGCTCCAACCGGGCCAAACGGTTCCGTCATCGTTGCAGAGGAGATAAGGGCGTAAAGACAAGCAGAGGAGGCATGGAGGGGAAACTGTCGTCGGTGGCGAAGACTTTAACTCCCTCTCCAATTCGACAGCTCTCGCTTCTCGCCCAGAGATGCAACGCCGTCAACCTGGCCGAGGGCTTTCCCGACTTCCCTGCTCCTTCTCACCTCAAGAACGCCGCCATCTCGGCCATTAATTCCGACTTCAATCAGTACAGGTTGCTTTTCCTTAACAATTTAAAGAGTTCTAATTCACTAGCGTAACTGTTGCATGCGAAATTTTATATTAGATAAGAATAGTAAATTTATCTGGCAGTCCGTTTGGTATCTTCAAATTTTCAGGTAAGCAGAGAGATGAGTTAATTACATTTGTCTCTCAAACCGTCTTAATGTCAGTTATGTGGAGAATTTTCCTTATACAGTACTTTACTATAAGGGATGAAAGATAGAAAATACTCTATCGTGGCATTTTAAGCGCAATTGCAATTGCAGGGTGCATTAATCCTTGCATCTGGATTTTTTTGGTTTAATTCCTTGCATCTGGATTTACCATAATTGAAAAGGTGTAGATTGTTTGAATTTTCCCTTTTTCAATTAAATAATGGAACTGCTGAGTTCTGCAACAATACAGTCAAATCGACACAAGTTTACACATTGGTAGTTCACTAGTCAGGCATTACTTAGAAGCATTTTTTTTTTTAAATTAGGGTTGAAGGAATTTCTGGCTAATTTCAGGCATGTTCAAGGTATCTGCGACAACCTGGCAAAGCTCATGAAGCATACGCATGGCTTAGATGTCAACCCTCTAACAGATATTGCCATTTGCTGTGGCCAGTCCGAGGCTTTTGGAGCGGCAGTTTTTGCAAGTATGCTTTCTTGTCTCAGATGACTTATCAACTACAGTTTTTTTTTTTTTTTTTAAATACTTTATGCTGGTTTTGTTTTGTTTTTTTGTTTTTTCCTCTGAAGTTCTATTTGTGTCCGTTAATTTTAATGTCAAACAGCAATAGACAGAGGCGATGAAGTTATACTGTTTGACCCTTCATATGAGACCTACCAAGCTTGCATCGTTATGGCTGGAGGCATCCCAGTAAGCTTCTTTTAAACCATTAGCCACATTTCTCCTCCGTTCTTTTAACTTAGTTAGGGTTGAATTTCAGCACCAAAATATATACAGTTTCTATTAACGTACATCTTCACTTCTTTTTATCTAACAAAGAAAAGGACAGGTGTATGTACCACTTGATCCGCCTTTTTGGACTTTGGATGTGGACAAACTCATGAACTCCTTCACTACTAAAACAAAAGCAGTAGTATTGAACAGGTGCGGTAATTTATTTAATTATTTATTCTTAGATCTTCAGACACCATTATTTGAATGTAAGGAAGAATGTAAACTTCACATCATTGCACAGTATCTCAGAGACGTCCTATTATATAAGCAATGGAGATTATTAACAAGAACACATATTAACCAAAGTTGATCGTTGAAAGTTTTAGCCCTTCAGTTAGCATGCTGCTGTTGACCACAGAATGATCACCTCATGCTTAAATGGTCTTTCCCTTTCCTTTCTGCCTTGTTAATTTCTTTGGATAGTAGGATCCACAACAGTGAGTTTGTGACCTGGGTGAAGATTTTGAGTGGATAAAGAAAATAGAAATTGCACTTGTGCAAGGCTGTGTTATCAATGCACAATGTTTACTAAAAATTTAATTAGCTCTCAACATCCCTTCCAAACTAATGATATAAAAGCTAGGAGAAAGTTATGGCAATGGATTGCAAAAGTAAAGAGTACTCTTTTATCTGAACCCAAGGCTTAGTTGAAGTGGTAGACGTCATTACTTCAATGTTTGACCCCCTTCTTCCTTCCCTAGCTTAGGCCTCCAATGTACCCAAAAACATAAAAATAAAAATAAACAAATAAAGAGTCCTCTTTCATCTGGTCTTGTCTATGATGCCATCATCTAACTGTATAGCATTTGCTTGCATGACTTATTTCAATAAAGGATGTGGTATTTCCAATGGATTTTAACTTTTATTTTTTAATATCAGTTGGAACTTGGAACTGCACACGAGTTTCCATTATCAACTTTATAGTATCATGGCACTTTTTAACTGCAGAAAACCTAAAATTTTCTTGAACCATTGTGGAAGCCTATAGAGACTTTATTAACAAATATATATGAAAAAAATTTATGTATGATGTCTCCAACTAGTGACACTTGACAGGACAGTCCTCAAAATCCGACAGGAAAAGTTTTCACCAAGGATGAGCTTGAGAAAATTGCTGAAGCTTGCCACACTTGGGATTGCCTGGCCCTAACAGATGAAGTATGGATGCCATCTTGTTTATACCTACTGAATATTTCAGTTGATTCATGCATTTGACATGATAGGTTGTTTTCCTTCTCATTGTAGCTTTTAAAGCAGTTGGACAAATTAGTTGTTTCATAAGTTTTAAACTAAAGAATACTTAAAGCTATCAGGCTGTTTAGACACAACTTGGATTTTGAACAAAATATGATTTAGTGATGGTGCAAGATATTAGATCCTGCAGTAGCCTGGTAGCCTGGCATTATCCTCCCTAGAGAAGAGTTTTGGATTTCAAACCTTACCTTCCTTCTTTCCTCTACCTGTCATTGCACCAACAAGGCTTGAGGTTCTTCCTTGTGCCCAAAGATTATCCTCCAAAAATAAAAGTTTCAGGTTTTGAAACTTGCCCTTCTCCTTTCCTCCCAGGGGTGGGGGTTTGTTGGGAGGTAGGAAAATGCATTAAATATTTTTTTCCCTCTTTCGAAATGGGTAAAAATTGCATCTTATATTTAGTTGTCCACATTAGTGAATTCAAATTGCAGGAATTAGATGTGCATTTGGCTGAAAGATGCAAACAAAACTGCTCGCCTACTTGAGTACCACATGATGCAAAATTGTTTCTAACTTCTCAGTTCAGGTATAATAGATAATGAATAATAGTCTTAGTAAATTAATGGTGACAAGACCTACC